GTACCAATAGGTCGCGGATCACATCCAACGATGCGTATGCCAGAACCAGACGAGCCTATGCCGCCAGACTCTCCTCCGTCGAGACCTCCTCCTCCCGGCCCTCCGGCCGTATCCTCTGATGAGCCCGTGGCTCCGGCTCGGCTGACTCGGACCCAGTGCACTGCCCAACTACCCGTGGCTTAGGGGTTTAGGGTTCAGGGTTTAGGGTTCAGGGTTTAGGGGCTTAGGGGTTTAGGGATTCGGGCCCTCAACCCTAAACCCTAAACCCTCAACCGTGGTTTAGTACCCTTTGCTTTCCGGGAGCTCGGGCTACCTTTGCCTGCCGCTCGGGAGAAAAAGCCATCAGGACCGGACCGAGCCCTGGATTCTGGTGCCATCTTCGCGTTCGCTTCGTTTTTACAAGACCCTCAAGCCTTGAAGCCTAAACCCCAAAGCCTCCAAACCCCTGGACCTCCAAACCCTAAACCCTAAACCCAAAACCCTGAACCCAAAACCCTAAACCCCCGAACCCCCAAACTAGGCCCCCAAACCCAGGGTGGTTCAATTTCAGGTCTGAGGTTCTCCTTCGGCGATTGACTGGCCGACAAGAGCCCTCCCTGTACTCTCTAACCTGTTGCCCAATATTAGCCCATAGGCCTTTTTTGTAGTATGGTCTTTGGGCTCAAAAGTCTTAAAGTATGAGCCCTTAGAGCCTTAGGGTGATGCTGGGTATGCATAGCGACAGCCCTGCTGCGTGAGAGCTATATGACAATGATGTATGGCTTGTCTACCTCAGGACCGAGAATGATCGCACCCAGAACATACGCCCGCATTTTCTGGCATGATGGCTGCCTACAGTGTGGCAACCACTGAAGTGTCTTGAAGACAATCCCTATAGTCTCCATGATAGTTCCTTTTTTTGGTTTAACCAATTTTATATCAAGGATCCTATAAGGTAACCCCAAAAAAGGAACTACAATGGAGAACATAGGTCTATAAAGATAAGGCAAGCTGCGTGCATGGCGTGCTCCGCGATCCAGAGTAGCTGCTCATCCTGTCGCCAAGGCTCAGCAGACCGCTCCAGATGCCCCCAAAAGTCACAAGGGTCGAAAAGGCTTCTAGGGGTCACTGCTCTATGACTGAATAGGGACTCTTTGCGAAACTCCAAAATCCAAGATGGTCCAAAACCTTAAACCCTAAACAGATCGCTAATCCGGTGGAGCTTCAAGCAGGCAAACAAAACATGTAAAGAGCAACATGAAAGCTGCAGACGCACAACCACCGCCAAGATCTCAATACAGCTAATCCATCAATGCTTATACAACTTATACCGAATAATTAGGTACAAACGGTACATTTCTCAATACGTATATGAGTAAACATCTTGTTAAGGACTCCTAGTATATGAGAAAGGTTATCTTCCTTCATGAAAAAGGGGGTGTTGAGAGGTCTTGCTCTGGACCCAGGTTGCCTCTATTACCCCAAGAGAGGCAAGAAGGCAGGGAAATGCCCAGAGATTACAAAACCCTGCAAGGGTGTGGGGTTTAGGGCTTGGGGTCTAGAGGGCATTAGGGTTTGGGTTTAGGGCTTGGGGCTTAGGGTCTATGGGGCTTTAGGGTTTGCAGGGAAGTGATGATCTGAAGCCAAATAGGATTTAAGGTCTGTTCTGCAAGTGAAGGGCCTAAGGGGGTTTATGGAATTTCTGGGAGGTGGGGCTCTATTGCTGCGACTATGTGGAGATATACTTGTCAAACTGGTCATAGAAACTGTAGCAGGGATAAAGTATACGACATAGTGTCGTATACTTACTCAGGCCTCCGGCTTGTATGCAAAACATCTATGCTGCGAAAGATTCTTGTCTTCACACCGATTTCAAACACCGCATCTTGACAACAGCATACACAGGATCTATCTAAGATGTCATCTATGTACCAAATTTACCTACCTCCCTACCTCCCTACCTCCCTCCCTACCTACCTCACTACCTACCTCCCTGCCTGCCTGCCTACCTACCAACCTGTATCCATATCTATATCTGTATCTATATCGATCAACCTGTACATATTATGTTCTGCTGGAATGAGAATGTCTGAATCCAGAATTGTGTCCGTGAGGTCGCAGTACCCGAATAGTAGGTTTTCGGGTACCAGTAGCACCCTGAGAGTGCACGTGTACCTTTAGCTCGGCTGTGTCTGCCTCGAGCCAGCACACCCAACACGCAAACCTGAAAACATCAAAGAGTTCCCTAAACCAGAACCTTCTACAAACTCCAACCATAAGCCGCTGCTCGCTACACCCCAAGTCCTACAATCTATATGACAAATATGAGGAAATCAGAACAGGGAACCCTACAGACGTAGTTCTCGAAAAGTCTAGGTTTGGGGCTACTCCCTAAATCCTGAACCTCAAACCCAAGTTGTAAATACAAATGACTCTAACATTTAAAAATGACAATAACAAGAATGCCATACAAATGTCATTTGTACTCGAAATATTTCTCATCTTACTAATATAACTAGCATTATGGTCGTTCTCATGATTTTCACACTCGAACGCCGCCTGCTGTGGGTCGATGCCCAGCTCGCGGATTGCCTACGAGGTTTAGAAGTTTAAGGTTTGGGGTCTATAGGACCCCCAGCAGTCTAGAGGGCTTAAACGTTTAGGGTTTGTTTCAAGGTCTAACACACGTCACACGAATTGAAGAACAAAACATCCACTGAAACATAAACCCTAAAGTCTTGAAAGAGGTCTGGGCATAGCCTACGTGCCTCGCAGGGTCAAAGCTTGTAGGCTTGGTCGACGCTTACATGACTGTACTCGGGTGGGTTGTTGTTTACTGCTTACCGTCTGAGGAAACACACCCCGCAAAAATCTAATGTTCCCTGAACACTCACACTTCAAACCCCTAAACATAGGAATGACAACGTCTATGTTGGAGAACCCAGCAAGTAGAATATTCCCCTAATTTCAATATCCTTCAACCCGAAATCCTAAATCCTAAACCCTTGACCCCAAGTCCTAAACCCTAAACCCTAAATCCTGAACCCTAAATCCTGAACCCTAAATCATGAACCCTAAATCCAGAAGAAATGGCAAGTTACTAAGCTACAGCAGTCTGCAGCGATTGAAGGCTGAAGGTTTCAGAACAACCCTAAACCCTAAACCCTTCGAAGCCTAAAGCCGAGATTTGACTTCAGGCCCGGTTTTGCGTTGTTTTGGCTCTAGGGGTCTAGGGGTTTAGGGGTGTAACCTTTAGGGGTTTAGGGGTTTAGGGTTTAGGGTTTTAGGGGTTTAGGGTTTAGCGGTTTAGGGGTTTAGGGTTTAGGGCTTAGGGCTCAAAACTTGGGACGCGAGGTTCAGGGCTTAGGACGTGGACTAAAGCTCTACCTTAAGCTCAGGCTCAATATGATTTCGGGTTCACGGTCAATGTAGGGGCCTTAACAATTAGAATAGGGTCTTGGGGGGTTTCTTATTATAATTGTAGTCTACTATACCCCAAACAGTATTCGAATCCCTCTATATTGAGGGATATCTCAGTGTCAGGAACCTTCAAGCAGAAATCCTAAACCCTAATGAAGACGTGGAGCTGGACTGCTGATTGGAATAGCGGGTTCCTTTAATGGGTTTAGGGTTTAGGGTTTCGGGTCTGGGGTCTAGGGTTTCGGGTTCCTTGACAGGGAGCTGCATGGGCTCTGTGCTGAGGCCTTTATGCTATTCACGCATCGAACACTGCAAAACCCTTCTGCCCTGGCGCCCCCGAGATTCCCAAGCATCAAAGCTTAACATCTCAAGCCTAAACGGCCTAAACTAAGCCAGAAATTCCAGAACCTGCATACCACCTAACGAGCCACAACTAAATCACAACTGCAAAGACACATGGCTGAGGTTGGAGTTAGTTCTATCAGAACCGGAGCTCTGAAACCGAAAAGTAAAACTGCATATACAACTGAACAACCGAAGACCCTACCTATAGTCTCCATTGTAGTTCCCTTTTGGGGATACCTTATAGGATCCTTTGTATAAGACTGGTTCAAGAAAAAAAGGGAACTAACAATGGAGACTAGAGGTAAACCCTGAACCTAAGATTCCGACCCGCTGTTGCGCGGGCGGTAGATGCGAGAGATCCAGGGTCTTTGTCATCGCACACAGGCCACGTCCCAAAGCCTAACGTAGTTTTCTGATACGCACCAAGGGTTCAAGTTTAGGATTTGACACAGTTGAAACAGGGTCTGGGGCTCAGGGGCAAGTTGTTTCTGGGTCACGGCCCTACCTGGCTGCCCGAAGCCCTGTGCACATCACTGAAGCCTGAAGGCAGCGGCATGCAAGCACGATCCTTCGCAGGCACTGCAGAGCAGTTGTGAAGCTCCTTCACTTCTCCGGTCGGGCAAGGGATGTAGAACAACTTCGGGTAAGCGTACAGCCAAATCCCTAAGCCCCATTCACATCCTTCCTTGCTTGAGGGCTCCAAACACTACACTAGCCATACTTGGAGGTTCCTGGGTAGTTATCAGTAGAGTTATAAGTAGGGTAACTATGGTTATAACCTATATCAAGGGACTTATAACTCCACTTCTAACTACCCATGAACCTCCAAATAACCTAGGTGGTAATACCAGTCTTGCAGGTCCCCAGCATATTGCAGTGTAAGTGTAAGCTAACCCCAAATCCTGAGCCCTAAACCCTCCGCCTACTTGCCCGCCGGTTGCCTCGACGTAAGTACGGGTTGACCCTGTGGATTCTATAGGGAAAATATCGACCCTAAACCCTAAACCCTCAATTCCAAACCCTAAACCCTAAAATTCTAAACCCTAAACCCTTTGGATTACATAAGGAAAATCTGCTACCGACACAAACTGTCAGACGGTTGGCCTACACGACTTCTGGATCCCAAGCCCAGCCGGTGGGACCCGGTGGGACCCAGGGTAAAGACTATACCCTCAAGCATGGGGGTTTTAGGGTTTAGGGTTTAGGGCTTAGGCTTTGGGGTTTGGAGTATGGGGGTTTACGTTGGGCTTAGGGTCTAGGGTATGGGGGTTTATACTGGTTTTAGGGTGAATGCCGCAGCGTGCCTCAACGCTCACGCCTGAACCATGAGCCCCAAGCCCAACAATCAAGGCCCTAACGCTTGCTTCATGATCGCAACCGGTCGCAAGACCATGTCAGTGGCTACTTAGCCAGAATCCTGAATTCCTAAACGTAGCTCTTCCATAAAGGCACAAGCGAACATTTGTTCGCAACAAGTTCAGCGCCTGTACTGCTAAGGACCTTTCGCATAAGTTACCATGATACTAGGATTGGGAAGGGACATGCAGTGCATATGTATATATATATATACACACATGTAAATACGGTAGGTACAATGGTGTCCTTTTTCCGGTCAGTAGCTCAAACCAGACACCGTAACTTCTGCACACGAAACCACCAAGATTTTCCCAAGACTCCACAAGCCAAAAGCCCTGGCCCCTGGCTCGACAATGACATGGGTGCCGTAACGTAACAACTCGAGAAAGTTTTGGGTGTATTTCAGTCAACTAAAGATATGTGTATATGTAGATAAGGAACCCCGAGTTTCAGGAGTCATGCATATATATATATATATATTATATACGGAATCAAGCATTGCTGATTGCTCAGTCTTCTACATTCGCACCTTCCAGCCGCCCTGCTCCAAGCTCTTTTGCCGGACTTCAAGAACAAGCTATCTGCGTCGGGGAGGTTCTGGTGTCGTGGAGTCGAGAACCCTAAGTAACCCTGAAAATTAGTGGAACACTATCAAACTATCTGGGAGGTTCTGGTGTAGTGGAGTCGAGAACCCTGGGTAACCCTCATAAGTGGCTGTAAACCTGTCAAGCTATCTGCGTCGGGGAGGTTCTGGTGTAGTGGAGTCCAGAACCCTAAGTAACCTATTCTGGTGTAGTGGAGTCAAGAACCCCAAGTATCAAAAAAAGTGGCTATAAACCTGTCAAACTATCTGCGTCGGGGAGCTTCTGGTGTCCAGAACCCTAAGTAACCTAAAAAGTGGCTGTAAACCTGTCAAACTATCTTTGTCGGGGAGGTTCTTGTGTAGTGGAGTCGAGAACCCCAAAAGCAGGTTATCGGATTCCATATCCCGGCAGCACCCAGTTGGAACTCTCACCCCTACCGGCCGCCGTGAGGCAAGGACGCGTTCAGGCACTCAGCCTGGTCCAAGAGCAGACGTGCTTTGAGGTGTTTCTATGAAGTTTAGAAAGGGTGTTTCTATGAATGGGTTTAGGGCCTAGGGCTTAGGGTTTAGGGTTTACGGTCTAGGGTTTAGGGTTTACGGTTTACGGTCTAGGGTTTGGGGTTTAGAGTTTACGGTCTAGAGTTTAGGTTTAAGGGTTTAGGGTTCAGGCTCGAAAGGGTGTTGCGAAGGTTGCGTACGGGCTTAAAAGTCTACGGCCTTAACCATTGGTGTTGGGTAGGATTCTTTGTGGAGGTTTCGCAGGGTTCTACTGGATTTAAAAGGTGCTCTGGGTAATATATATATATATATATATACACATACACACACATAACTGTGTGTGTATATGTATGAGTATATACATACATATTTATAAATAAATAAATAAATAAATAACTAAATAAATAAATACATAAATAAATATATATATATATATATATCAGTATGTAGGGCCTCCAATCGAGTGTGTATTTATTATAGCTAAAGTTCTTTTAAGGAGCTCTACAATGTCCTACACGTCAAAAGGTTTCGAAATCACGATTCAGGCCGCAACTTCGCCTCTTAAAGCATTCGTATCATGCCAGGGGTGATAAACCCTAAACCCTAAACCGGGGTGATAAGCCCTAAACCCTAAGCCCTAAACCCAAAACCGCCGGCCCTAAGCCGTGCATCCCTCGAGCTTTTATAGGGTCACTTAGCTCCTTCTCGTCATTCGTGCTCTACGTATTCTCCCTCCTTCCAGGGGACTCTTGCATCGCTCAAGCAAGGAAACACAGAAAGGGTTTGTCCGAGCTTTGAGATGGTAATGCAACTGGGCCTGAATCATCAGAAAGGGACATTTCGGGTATATCTTAATCTGAACCGTGGAAGGAAGTCCACCTGAGATTTGCTACCGTGAGCTGACGCTGCACCCTGAGCCCCAACACCTTGAACCTAGAGCGGTCGCCTTTGAAAGCGGAATCGAAACCCACGCCCTAAACCCTAAACCCTAAACCCTAAACCCTAAACCCTAAGGCCCAAGCCCTAAACCCTAAGCCCGAAAGCCCAAACCCTAAACCCAAGCCCCAAACCCTGAACCTAATCCCGAAGCTGAGCCCTTATAAAGCCTAAAGCCCCGAACTCCGAAGCCCCAAATTCTGAACCCTGGGGTTTAGGATTTTTTTTAAGGGTTCAGGGTTTAGGGTTTAGGGTTCAGGGTTCAGGGCTTCGGGTCTAGGGTTTAGGGCTCAGGGTTCAGGGTTCAGGGCTTAGGGTTTTGAGCTTTGGGGTTTAGGGCTCAGGGTCCTAGACCCTAAGCTCAAGAACTGAAAGTCTCCGAAGCTCGACAAGTGGATTGCTGTAGTCGCCCTGTTCCGTTGAAGGGTTTAGGGTTTAGGGCATAGTGTTGCCAAGTGATTCGTATAAGGGCCTTGGTACTTTGAATTGGGGTCTTTTAAAACGAGGAACCCCCACAATAGTATAGGTGATTATTATGGCCCCCATATTAGAAGTCGCGAATCTTCTGCCTCCGCAATCACCATTACCCGTTCCAAGTCCTGTCGTGAGCTCATTGACAGCTTGGTGCACCAAGCCCGTCGCAAGCCCCACGAACTTCACGAGAGCTGTTGGAATACGCAGGAAAGCATGCATAGACCCCTCTGTGGCCAAGTTGTTTTATGATGATACTGCCACAGGAGTATTCGGCGAAATTTTGGGATAAGCTTCCCGATACGACCTGTCAGCACTCGATTCTTTGCAAGCCTTCTTTTGCGCCAACGACTTCTGGACGATGACGTCGATTCTCTCCGTTGTAGGTCTTGCTTATGATTAAAACCCGAAAGAACAACTGCAATCGACGGGCCCTACACTCTATATACATAGTCTCGTAAAATTTCTATCATATTATGATGATGATGAATATTATTCTTCGTCTTCTTCAATATATAATACAATATATATATATATACACACACATACAGATGTGTGTATATATATATATACATACTATTTTCATTTATGGCAGCCCCTGTTCGGATGTAGTCGTGCCCGCCTTCGCGCACAGCGCCCGAAGAGTCTGCTGAACGATCAGAGCTTGACCTGGAGAAAACATAGGGTTGAGGCTATACCAGGAGCCCCCAATGGCCCTTTTAGGGTTTAGGGTTAAGGGTTTAGGGTTTTAGGTTTAGGGTTGAGGGTTTAGGGTTTTAGGGTTTAGGGTTGAGGGTTTAGGGTTGAGGCTTTAGGGTTGAGGCTTTACCAGGAACCCCCAATGGCCCTTTAATAGAGCCCTTATGGTCCTTAATTGTGGGTATTTGGGGTATATCAGAGGGTACTTGGGGGGGCCTAGGTGGGGTTTAGGGTTTAGGGTTTCAGGTTTAGGGTAGGGTTAAGGGTTGTGGAGTTTTAGGGTTTATAGGGTCTATATAGGGCATTGGATTTAAGGGCTTTCGCCCAGTTCAAGGTTTTAGGATCTTGGGCTTAGGGTTGCAGGGTTTACAGTCTAAAAATCCTCGGATTTAAGGCTTTAGGTTTCAGGATTTAGGGTTTGGGGCCTATAGGGCATAGGACTTCAGGGCCCTTTGCTGGATTCGGGGTTCTAGCCTTCATGAGGACCCAAGGGCTGCTGGGCAGCTTCTATGATCCCCAGTTCCCTAAGGTTCATGTACCCAAACAATATGTACTTTGGCCCGAAACTACCTCTTTATAGGGACCCTAAACCCTAAAGTCCTAAACCCTAACCCCTGAAACCCTCAAATCTATAACCCTAAAACCCTAACTCTGGCCAAATATATATGATGTGAGCACATGGACGTTCATAGCAGCAATACTCATGATTCAGAGCCTACCTGACTGAAGCCTTGAAGCCTACATGGTACAAAACGCCTTGACCCCGACTACACCAACCTATCAGATCTTGCAGCCGAACTCGTGAATCCCACTTCCTCAATCTTGGGCACGCGGCGCAGTCGCTGCGCCCAAGGCTGTGCCACTCGCCCACAATCACCGGTGAGTTCCTGAAGCAAAGCACCAATAACACCATCCACTTGTAGTCCTATGTAGTCCCTGTATAGCTAAACCATTGCGCAGCGCCCCCAAGACCTTATTCTGGCTCCTACACTGGGGCATTGGGGCCCGGAAGTTACTTCATAATGTGTAACTAGAATGGGGTTCCGGGGCCTTTTTACCAAACACAGGAAGGAACTACTTCAACATCGATGAAATTTGGCTTGCTCTAACTTTAGGCCGCTTGTTTAGTCTTTGCGTCTATCGGATGGCTAGATAGCTAGATAGTGTACCAACTCTTCCTAACCATGCTACATCGACATGGACACCTCGGTTTCTGCGCAGGACATGTGCTTGTCTCGTTGTACTTATTGGGATTTGGGACAGATTGGGACAGGCTAGCAGGAAGACTTGACCAACCGGTTGGAAAAAACCCTACTTAAACCCTAAACCCTTAAACCCTAAACCCCTAAACCCCTAAGAATAGACAGCATTGCGATCTGGCACGAACACCGCTAGCTGGCTGCAGACCCTAGGCCCACCTATGGTCTCCATTGTAGTTCCTTTTTGGGGTTACCCCAAAAGGGTTTAGGGTTTAGGGTTTAGGGTTTTGGGTTTAGGGTTTAGGGTTTTGGGTTTAGGGTTTGGGGTTTTCATATAAAATTGGTTGAACCAAAAAAGGAACTACAATGGAGACTATAGGCAGACCCCTAACCACGGCATCAACAATCATAGCGAAGATGCGCAACAGGCTGATCATACAGAGGGATTCGGTCCTCCTCGTGTCTTTGGCAAACCTAAGGCTCTTACAATATGAAATACTATCTACTTAGAGTGCCCCTAAACCCCAAACACTAAAACCTAAACCCCAAACCCGTAACCCCAAACCCTGGTAAACCCTAAACCCTCCTCCAGATGTCTTCTTTGTCTGAGTTCCCTGCTCTAAACCCAAAACCCTAACCCCTAAACCCTAAACCCTAGACTGCTCTAACTGTGGAAGTTCCGAGCTCCAAACTCTTGTGAGACGTGCAGTGGCTGTAAGGCAAAAAAAAGGGTTCAAAGTGTCGAGTTTAAGGGCTGACTGGGGTTTAGGGTCTAGGGTTTAGGGTTCGGGGTTTAGGGTTTAGGGTTTAGGGTTTAAGGGCTAACGGTTCGGGGTTCGGGCGACTTATGTGGCTGCCATCATGGATATTAATACTTGCAGCTAA